GAAGGCTTACAGAACAAAATAGTTTCTCATTTAACAGTTACTACAAATGTTGCCCTATGACAATGGTTAACAATCTCACAACACATCAACAATATCCTTAGGGGAACATTTATTTTTGTCAGTATATGTATTTATTTGAAACAATATTTTAAAAGAATCAGTATGTTGTTAGGTGCTGTAGATTCAGTTCCAACTCACAGTGACCCTATGTACAACAGAATGAAACACTGCCCGGTCCTGCACCATCCTCGCAGTCATTGCTATGTTTGCGCCCATTGTTGCAGCCACTGTGTCAGTCCATCTCCTTGAGGGTCTTCCTCTTTTTCACTGACCCTCTGCTTTACCAAGCATGATGTCCTTCTCCAGGGACTGGTCCCTCCTGATAACATGTCCAAAGTATGCGACAGAGTGTAGCCACCCTTGCTTCTAAGGAGCATCCTGGCTGTACTTCTTCCAAGACAGATTTGTTTGTTCTTCTGGCAGTCGGTGGTATGTTCAATATTTGTTACCAACAGCTTAATTCAAATGCATCAATTCTTCGGTCTTCCTAATTCATTGTCCATTTTTCACATGCATATAAGGCGACTGAAAATACCATGGCTTGGGTCAGGTGCACCTTAGTCCTCAAAGTGACATCTTTGAGAATCAATATAGCCACATATAATGTAGAGTGTAATTCATTATTGAATAAGTTCTTTTTTCCTTAATGGCGTTAAACATTATTGTAGATCACTATTTGATCCCTCTGTCAACAACAATCCCATTATATTGAAACATCTGACATGATTGCCCATTTTTAATTCTAATGTCTACAGGTAGTATTATTAAGTTACCAATATGTGTTTGTTCAGTTGGGACTTTCATCTTTTAAGCAACGCTAAATGAGTGGCAGCATCAAAGTGTTTTGTTAAGAATCATAAGCTCAAAGAGTAAAATTAAACATTGAATAATTCACTTAGTACTCTTTAATACTGCTTTTCAGGACTGCACTGATACTTTTCTATCCTAGTCTGAAAAAATAACTGAGAAGTAGATACCATGGCTTTCTAAGATATTGTACTTTAGGCTAGGACTAGCCAGAACTTTTTTTTTTTAAACTTTTAAACTCAGTCAATTCAATCAAGTGATCAGTTTAAACTATGATTAAAATTGAATTAATTATTTTAAAATAAATTCGTTGCTATTTTGGCATGGCACAGAATAAGTATATGATGCAGTATTACAAATGTGGCTAATTTTGACCTATATATGCTTCAAACTGGAAAATTTTCAAGAACAATTATCCTTTTAAAACTAAGATTCTCAAGAGAGGTGCATATTTTTTTTTCATTCAGAATTTGAGTTAAGCATATTATAATTTATTTAAAGATTTAATATGGAGCATAAAAGCAGAAAAATCAGAAATATTTTATTTATATCAGTATTAGCTTTCTTTCATTGAAATGTAAAATTAAACTTATATTTTCTCTAAAATAATAATCATATTCTCAGTTGAATAATGTGAATTTTTATCTGATAGATTAGATTTACCTGACTTCTGTTAAAAAAAAGGCAGTGATAACATTTGTAATTTCTTAAGTTCCCTTTTAGTAATTTATGACTCTCATCTTACTGAAGCAATAATATGTGAATTTATGAGTTTACCAAATTAAGGAAAACAATCTTACGTGAAGTTTTGCCTTTGCCAGACACATTCATAGCACAGAAATGAAATTTAAAATACAAGTTAGTATCAATTTTAAGACTGTGTAGTCTTATGCTGCTATTGGGTCTAAAAGGAAAAAATAAGCATATACCTGTGTATACTCGTT